ATTCGATAGAACTTTTGAAATTAATGCATTAAGTCTATATAAACATGGGTAGAAAAATGCGTGGCTTCCGAAATACAGGGTGTTTAAATTTACTTGTTAAAGTAGTTTTTTTTTAAATATTTCGAACAATATTTGATGTATAACAGTGAAAATTGGTATACAAGGGTTTTTTGGTACGACAAAACGAGCCATGGGCATAGTTTACTATAGCCGCTAGAGGGCGCTCTCTACTGTACCTGTAGTGTATTAAAATGACCGAAAATTTTTTCTTAGTGCAATTTTTTGCTTTTTGAATGAAAAATGAAAAAAGCTCTCCTGTAAGTTTTCATTATAGTTAGCCGTTTTTTAGATATTTCGATTTTTATGGTTCGATGCATTTTTAATTATTTATGTTAAAATAATAAATTTTTTTTTTACATTTTCGATTTGGGCATTACAAGTAATTAAGAGGATCGTTTAGATTGTGTTTTTAAACACAGCAATAATTCCTAACGCCAAATAAACACAAAAAACAGAATATTAATTTGTTTAATTTTCCAATATTATTTTTAACAAATTAAATTAATCATTTACAACTAAAATGCTATTGGATAGTTAGGACAAACATACAAAATCTAAAGTAGTTGCTCGAAATGTAAACCCAATTGTTCGATACACAATTCACATCTACGAATGATCGAACGTGGTATAGCATTATTCAAATAAGGCCTTATTTCATCACATGCATTCCTTATTCTGTCTATTAGCATATCTCTTGTGGTTACGGGAGCCTAGTACACTTCTTCTTTTAGAAATCCCCACACAAAGAAATCTAATGGATTTAGGTCAGGGGATCGTGGAGGCCAGGCGACTGGTCCAGCCAGTTTCTAACTATTCTCGAATAATGAGCTGGACAACCATCAAGCTGGAACCAGGCCAATCTTCCTAAATCTAACATAACATCATCCCACATAATATTTGCATGTTCAGCCTTTAAAAATTCCAAGACGGTCGCAGCATTTAACCTTGCAGGCAAAAGGTAGGGTCCAAATAGTCGATTACGGTAGATACCAATCCACACGTTCATACTAAATTCATGCTGAAAATGTCTTTCCCGAACTGCATGCGGATTTTCATGCGACCAAATATGTTGATTAAGAAAATTTACCACTCCAAGTCTAGTGAAGCATGACTCATCGGTCCAGAAAACGTTACTTAAAAACTCCCTATTATTATCAGTTCTATCACGAATCCACTGACAAAATGCGATTCTTCGTTCTCCGTCCCCTGGCTGTAGTCCTTGCACAGGTTGCAAGTGGTAAGGACGTCTATGGTCATTTCTAAGAACACGGTGAACATGGCTTGCTGAAATTCCCAAGGCACTAGAAACTCTCCTAACACTTGTGGTCGGATCTCTATCAAACTCTCGCAGAATCATACGGGTAAATCTGCGCTGACGAACATTTATATTTTGATAACTTTGGAGATTTCCAAAACCATTTTCAATTATTTGGCGATGCAGTCTTACAAATACTGAGCGAGTTGGATGTCGTCTGTTTGTAAATCTTCGTGCGTATTCTCTGGCTGCTTCTGCTGCGTTTCCATTTACAGAGCCATACACAAAATGAATATCCGCTAACTCTTGATTGGAGAATAAAAATGGCATTTTTATAAAACTTACACAAAAACAGGTGAAAGAAACTAAATTTCGTGCATTCACAATTGCAAAAAAACGTTTCAGGTTTCAACAGACAACAAAACTAACTGTCAACTAATTGACGTTTAACGTTATTCTGCTTTCAATTTCAAAAATATTTGCAGGCATAGCCTACCTCTAAAAGTTCTAGATACTGACTTTTTAACGTTATTTTGTCATAAATAGTTAAAAATGCATCGAACCTTAAAAATCGAAATATCTCAAAAACGGCTAACTATAACGAAAATTCACAAGATAGCTTTTTTATGTTGAAAAGCGCGAATAATCAGTTTTTTTATCAAAAAAGCAGAAAATTGCACTAAGAAAAAATTTTCTGTCTTTTTGATACACTACTGGTACATTAGAGAGCGCCCTCTAGCGGCTACAGTGAAACTATGGCCAAGGTTCGTTTTGTCGTACCAAAAAACCCTCGTATACCAATTTTCAACTGTTGTACATCAAATATTGTTCGAAATATTTAAAAAAAACTATTTTAGAAAGTAAATTTAAACACCCTGTATTTCGGGAGCCACGCATTTTTCGACCCATGTTTATATAGACTTTAGGCATTAATTTTAAAAGTTCTATCGAATCTTAAAGTTATGCAACAATAAACTGAAACACCCTGTATAATTAGGATGTGGCATGTATATACAGGGTGTCCCAAAAGTCAGGGAAGAAACGACATGGGATAATAGGGGACCCGTTTGCAATCACAAAAACCATATGTGCGCTCATCCAGTTGTGCACGGTTTTTGAATTATCTCCATTTCTAAGAATTTGTGGAAAATCGTTACTTTTGAGAATGTACTATTTCTTCTGGAGTTGTCTTTTGTTATCAATCAGATTTATAGGATCTTTTTTCAAATGCGCTTCGTTCGTACAGTGGTCGGTGAATTGTCGGTGACAGTGTCTGAGATCCGGCCTTGTAAATTCTGTTTATATAGCGTAGCAGAATGAACGGGATTTGGGTGGCGGAGTCATAGACACGATCACTGACAGGTGGGAGACAACTGACAACTATGATGTGTCGCTGTAAAAACCTATGAGTGAAACTTTAGTCTAGATAGTGTAGGTGAAGCAATCGACTAATCTGAAATTTTGTGTGTTGTGAAAAAGATTACAGCATATTCAAAGAGGCTTGTACAAAAAATTAGTAGGCTGATAAATTGTTCATAGAAATGTAAAACTTCTGTGGCCTTTCAAAATATTAATTAGATAATCAAGTATCCTAAGTGGTTTCTGCGTAAGGTAGACAAAATACTGCAGGTACTCTAAATCCAGAAATTCCCCCTTTTCAAAATTAACCCTTTAACTGACATTACTCATGTTCTGTTTTCCAAATATGATGAATAAACACTTATGTGACAACAGATCCTTAAACCAGAATGAATTGCATGTCTAATTATTCCAAGTGGTGGCGGCCTTGAAATTATTTTGGGTGTTAACAGCATTACTGAAACAGTGCCTGCAGCATTTGCTAATCCTGTAAGCCCAATTACCAGCCTGATGTGATTCCAAAATTATTCAGCAAATCCTTAAAAGGATTATCAGATGCCATGAATGAGATGTTTTAGTCTAATTCCCTCTATATCCTAGAGGTCACTATTTTTTACTAAAATTGGAAGAATGATCAGTTGGTAATTTATTTTTGTTACGCTTATTAGAGTTCTGGGAATTTATGCAATGGGTCGTGCTCGAAACGAAATCTTTTATGTTATGATTTCTCGCAGATTTATGACACACTAAATCAGATTTGTACCGAATGCTTTCCACCCAATGAAAAAATACCACCCTTGAAGAAGCATTTTACGAAGTGCTGGTGTCATCTCAACGACGGCATTAATGATGTTGAATTGCTTCAACTTGGTAATGAACTTAATATCAGTCTCAGGAGTACTCAGAGAATTATTCAAATACATTTCCAAGATACCCCCAGGAGTGTCGATTCCATTGAGGTTTCCATTTATAATTAACATCATTGAATTGAGCTTCTCAACTTCAGAAATGGAATATTTTTGGTCCAATTTTTCACTGAAACCATTTTTTGGAGCTTCTAGAGATTTTTATATGATCTTTAACCAGCCTTGTACCATTTACATAAACATCCAGGTCTCCAGGTTTAACAGAAGAAGTGACTTCATGTAAAATACTTATAGAATCAACAACATGCTCATCTCCTGATTTTTTACGACATCGCTGACAAAGTAGCAGAGTCAGATGTCCAAATTTTGCTTTCATGAAATTTCAATAATTTCTTTTGTAGTACTGTACCCTAACTCAGTTAACAGCTTTTTAGATAAATTCAATTCTCCAGAAAGACTTCTTCTTCGAGCATGGTGATTTTGGTCTTAGAGGTTTTAACCTTTTTATTTACGGAGTTTGCTCTGCTTGCGCTGTCAGTCATCCAATAGCCAAACGTTTTCATATTCCGCAGTTATCTTCAACCAACTATCCTTGATAAGAACACAGGACGAGTGGAATTTGCCAATACATATTGCAGCTGACAGCTTTTGACAATAAGGTTGTCGTCGAGCCCTTTGCAGATCTCGATATCAATCAATCAATATTCCTCGGCAGTACGTCAAGCATTGCCATTGCACAATCTATAAATGAAATGCATTTCTGCATATTCCGGTGAGGAGTACATCATCTTGCACCGAGTCAATGAGTACGGCATCATCCACGCATTCCTTTTTTAGTACCCATGTTGGTTTATATCATGTACCTGTCTGGTAATGTTGCGCGATTTCCATAACCCTTCTATTACTCAAAATCATATCAGGGCCGGCCTTCCATATATTGATAACACCTGGTAGTTCTTTGAATTTGGGGATTTGTTGTCCCTCAATTGTTTTTCCATCATATTTAGAACCTGGAAGATCAACAACAGCCCTTAAAGGGTCAAGTTTAGCAAATGAGAATTTCCGGATTTAGAGTACCTCCAGCATTTTGTCTACTTTGCGCAGAAACTATTTAGGATATTCGGTTATTATTAGACGTTTTGAAAGATCATAGTATCGGGAAGTTTTTCAACACTATGGACACTTTATCCGCCTACTAATTCTTTGTACAGGTCTCGTTGAATATGCTGAAACTTTTTTGACAGCAGACAAAATTGGAGATTAGCCGGTTGCTTTACCTACATTATTTCAAATAAATTTTCACATATAGCTTTTTCCCAGCAAAACATCATTTGGGAACAGATCATGTAAAAAATAGTACAGTCTCAAAAGGATCGATTTTCCACAAATTTTTAAAATTGGCGATAACTCAAATAACGTGCGCAATCGGATAATGACATATACGGTTTTTCTGAATGCAAATGGTCCCCCTTATCACCTTCTTTTGTTTATTTCATGTCTTTTGAGACATATTGGTCAATATCGTAAAGCACATAAACTCCATTAGGATTGGTTTTTGAAATGTAATACGAAAACTGTGGGAATATGTATATTTTTAATTTCGATAGACAACAAATGAACCAATAAATTCTTAGTTGCAGACCTATTTTCCTTAAAAGGTCACCGCAGATACGAGGGATGTCTTTGAAGCTTTGCTACTTAAATTCAAAGTTTCACAACGATACGTGCAGTGTTCTCGCTACAGTGAATTTTTAAGCGTCACCAAGTCATGAGAAAAACGGAACTCAACCGAGACCATCGAAGCGCCGCATCAGTCGACAATTTCCCGTTTGTATGGAGAATTCAAACGTGGACGGGTGAGTCTTAGCGACGATCCCAGGGTGGGTGCACCAAAAACGGCAGTCACCCAGGAAAACGTCGATGCTGTGCGCAAACTCATCATTGAAGATAGACATGTGTCATACCGCGAGATTGAGGCGTCCTTGAAGATCTCAAAGACCTCAATTCAAAACTATTTGCATGAAGAATTAGGAGTAAGAAAATTAGTTTTTCGTTGGATACCCCACCTGTTGACTGAAGAGCAGAAAGCAGCCAGGGTTAATTGGTGTCAAAAAACGCTTGACCGTTTCAATTCCGGAAAATCAAAAAATATGTACAGCATTGTTAGTGGTGATGAATCGTGGATTTACTGTTATGAACCAGTCGGCTGTTTGGATGTTCCAAGGTGAAGAAAAAAAAGCCAACAAAAGTCATCCGTTCTCGAAGTGTTTCGAAAAAGGGTCATATTGCAACAATTCCTCTTAACGAGCAAAGAACTGTTACTGCCGATTGGTATACCACCATTTGTTTGCCAAAAGTCATAACCGAGCTTCGAAAAATCAACCCCGAAAGAAGAATCATCCTCCACCAAGAAAATGCAAGTTCGCACACACCCCAAAAGACAAGGCAGTATTTAAGGGAAGAAAACGTGGAATTACTGGACCATCCTCCATATAGTCCCGATCTAAGTCCTAAGATTTTCCGAAAATTAAAGACACACTGCGTGGTCAAAGGTTCCAGTCACCAGAAGAAGCAGTTGACGCATTCAAAAATGCCGTTTTGGATCTGCCAGCAAACGAGTGGAATAAGTGCTTCGAGAATTGGTTCGAGCGCATGCAGTTGTGTATTAATCTTCGTGGAGAATACTTCGAAATACAGTAAAGTCATTGAAAACTACCTACCTTGTTGTTTTATTCCATATGCAAAACTTAAAAGACATCCCTCGTACACTGTTGCCAAATGCTTAGCGTAGCTAAGGTTTTACCAAATCGGGATGATAGAAAAAAAAGCTTACTAGTGCTGGACTTTAATATCTTTTACATAAAAGCATTTGTTTTGGAAAACATCTACTAACCTGCACTAATAGAAGACATGCTTTTCAAGGCCACAAGGAAGTAAATCCAAGGCTGTCATTTGGAATCGAGAGTGCCTCTACATTCCACAAGTAACAATGTTGCCCGGATGAATATTGTCTTGAAATCCAAGGGTAATCTCACATCTCATCGGCTAGCAACAATAATCATGAAAACCGTAATAGCGGAAAGGGAGCGCTTTTGACCTATTCCCAAAGATGCCAACAGATATGATTTCATATTCACGAGTTATAAAATACTCATGAGACTCATTTTTTTATGAAAATGCTTCAAGATGGCGCCCATTAGTTATCATGAAATTTACACTTTACGCTAACACATGGTATTTATGCATTAATCTGGTTACCCCGAATTTTAGCTTGCTAACTTGACCTGTTTAAATTTAGAAGTGGGAAATGGGTGGATCTCTTTGAAAAGACGTCTACGACCCTTTTCCGATGCTTAGGATTACATGGTTAATTTGCGAGACACGGCATTTCAAAGTTACCATTTGCACACTACTATGTAATATTTATTACGCTTCACCTGCATGAAGACTTTTGTGGCTAAATCTTGACTGTGCCTATGATACTTTTTATATCCATACTGTATGATCACACTCAAGACACAAGGTCGGGTAGCAGTCCCGTAAAAGAGAGAAAGATGAGCACATAGAGGAGTTGTATGGTTAGACCCTTTGTATGACTGTATCGTAAAAGTTTATTGCCGAAAGAGTGTTTATGAAACACTAACTGATATTTATTGTCACGAGAACCCCTCAAGACCCGGGTGTTGTCGATTATATTTTTTGCTGTTGTCTGCGGGTAATACAATGCGTCGAAAAACACTCATAGAGCTTTGTCCGAACTTTACTGGCCGTCCAATGATTATATAGTGACGTGTGTCTTGCAGATATATCTAAGCAAAGACTATGACATTCGGATCTCGTATTAGGTTACATGCGGTCAGGTTGACTGTTAGAATGGGCCCAAAATAACTTTGCAGTTTGGCCACAACGGGCCAAACAGCAGCGATGTCCAATTTTGCTCTTGGTAGATGGCGCAAATAGAAAGGTAGGCTTCTGATAACCTTAGATGTGACCACCACCAAAAGGTCAACTGACGTGACGTCTTTTACTCATCAGGGTCGGGAGCCTTTTGCTCAAGAATTACTGAGGTTTTATCTGGCTTAGGTAGTCGATGTTTGAACGCATTATTGGTGGTATAAAATAATAAATTTATTTTAATTTCAGTTAAACTCAACTTTGTTGTGCCTTTGGGCATGGAATTTAGAATTGCCTTGGTTCTAGTCAGTGGCGACGCGTGACTTTTCCTAAACTGTTACCAAAACCAGATGTAAAAAATCTTCTTAAAAAAAGTTTATTTTGAACCTCCCAAATATAATTTTTTTCTTATTTTAGGTATTTTATTTAAGCTATTTTTAAATTAAGGTAAACATTCCTGGACTGGGCACTTGATATACCTCATCGTCTTTTGCTATGACTAATCCAAGCCGTCCGAAAAAACAGTCGACGTTTCTAGATGTTCGGAAAATTGTTGATCTTTTTGGCAATGAATGTTAACAATTCCCTGTAATTTCCTCTATTGTCAAAGTCATCTCCTTCAAAATGAACGGTAATTCCTGTTTTGCAAAAAACATACGGTATCTAGAAGCCTAAAAGCTTGGTTAAGACAACTTTCGATTCTTGTTTTTCCAAACTGAATTAAATTGGCTACATATCTCACATGTAACCACCTGTAGTGAAGTCGCAAACATTTCTTTCTAGGATTAAACTGCCAGATTGCTTAGTTTTTGGATTGTTATTGGAATCGGTATTTCAACATTTCGACTGCAAGGAATATTTATTTGTCCGAACCATACTGAAAACAATTTATTATATCAGTGAATATTAGCGTGGCTACTAAAATAGATTCGAAGTACTGAAGTGACAGCTTGTCGTATAATAACCAAACATCAAAACAAAAGTGTATTCAGTAGCTGATAGCACCATCTACAGTGAGATGTATGGTACTTTTATCACTGTCCATTCAACCTTTGATCTCCTTCCTATTGCTTCCGACAATACCAAATGTACCGATAATGTTTCTCCAATATACCTATAATTACCATTGGAATATCTAATACATCAGACTCAATAATTTGGTCCAATAAAATGTCCCTGGAATGCGACAATCGAGTCCCAGAGGTGAATGTCCACATTTGGAACACCAATCCCATCAACGTTTTTATAGACTTTGTGGTCTGGGTTGGATTCAATTGAACAGAATTATACACGAGATCAATTATCTGTGACTAAAGTGACTCGTTGTTTTAGTGATGAGAAGGTTTTGACCTGGTTTTAAGCAAGTTCACGTTTTTTAAAGGATTCATTGCTACACTTTAGGTAATGGCGATGTTCCTTTTATTAGCACGAACTGTGCAGTTATCTTGGGGAGTACAGTGAATTTTTCATGACTTGCTGAGGAAATTTCAAACAACCGAAGCTCCAGGTTTCTGTTTTACGATCTAGCTTGGATGTTGACGTCATTTTCCAATTAACTGCCGATGCACTCGGAAGTAGTCCAGTCATTTTGAGCAGTACAAAGTAAAAATTACAAAAGGGGTGCATCAAGGGATGCCCACTTTTTGGTTGACAATACGTTTAAAGGAAGAACATCGTTTAACTTCAAAACGACGTTTTATCTTGAAATTCCAATTTAGATTATAATACAAATAAACTAAAGCTTTGTGAGGTTCTACTAACAAAATACATATATGAAAATTATATAGAAATTGCCAAACCGGGTATTTGACATCAAAAATACTTAAAAGTAATAGCGGTTGATAAAATAAAATATTTGGAAATATTTTTCTTAGATTAAAAATATTTGAACGATAATGCTAACAAAACGTAACACGCTTTAATTCGAAAACTTGAAATGAAGGAACTTCATTATCTATTAGATATTTCCAATTTTGGAAAAAGCCGAATTAGAGCTTGTTTCTATAAGATGTGTTTACTGTACTATTACTTTATCTATTCTCCAAAACGATTAATTTAATCGAAATAAGACAAGGTGTAAGAAATGGCAATATTGCGTTACGGACAGTTCGTTCCTGTGATCGTGTTAATCTCTTCCATGGGCTCTAGCTAGTTACTATACTCTCAAAATTTCTTTAGATTGTGATGTGTTACTTAAGATAGAAAAATAGTTTCCACTCCTTGAAACACAACATCGCATTTTCAGTTTTTCATTGACAATGGTCTGATGAACGGAAGAAAAACATTTTTTAAGGAAAGTTTTGCTTTTGCTGTTAATAAAACGAACTAAGATTTAAAAATATTTCTTCCGATTGTAAATATACCGCCTATACATCTTAAACTTCAAACGATAATGAAACTTCTTCGTCTCAAATTTTTAAATTAAAGCTTATCACACCCTTTGACTCATCACGCTACTGGCGACGAACTATTGTAATCGCGAAGCATTTCGAAACGGTTGTAAGGGGATAGGGCATCTCAGTTTTTTTGGCGTTTATATACTCATACGCTTCCAAACCGAGTGACTCTATGAACCTACTAGTCATGTTTCACACGTCATTGACTTCCCCTTACATTTGACCATAAAACATTTAATTAAAAATATTTTCAACACACGCGTCTCTCATTTGCGTCACGGTCTGCCGACTGGATGGCTGCTGTGCAGCGCTGCCAGATTCGTTGTGAGACGTAATAATACAGGCGCATCGGAGTTATCGTACACACGGCATAGCGTTTAGAGGAGATGAAGTGGTGGATACATATTTATAACAATAAACCCTCTTATAATATAAACAAATTACAGTTAATGCTTGTATTACCTATAATTAAATTAGTGAGCAGCTTGATGGCGAAGTTTAGCTATGACAGCTATTCTTACACTTAACCATTTACAGCATAAAAATATTAGGCGTTAGAGACGTACAGCTGTAAATAGGTTAAAAGGAGGAAAATGCGCACGAAACTGAACATAACTTAAACAAATGTTAGCATAAAATTGTAATGCTGAAGAATAACACCTTTAAAAAGAACTACTGAGAACTGTATAGAGACTGGATTTTTGTTCTATAATCTAAGCTATTGTACAGCATGCATGCATTATATGAGAAGGACCGGTTACAAAGAGATGAACTATCAAGAAGAATTATTAATGAATGTGTTACGGATAGATGGTTGGTCAACATTGTATCTAAAAATTAGTTTTTCACGTGAATAAATTGGAGTTCCACGGATAGGTAACTTACTTATAAAGGTTAGGTATTTGTATTTTACTAGATCTGTCGTCTTTAACCAAACTATTAGAGGGTAACGATCCAAAACATGGACAAATTTTCTTAAACTAAATATAAATCGTATGCAGTTATTTTGTGGAACAGATATTCTGTTACGACTCGCAACATCCAAACAAGGATAATAAACTAGATTGCAATAATTGAAAATTGATAACACAAAAGATTCACGCAACTTTGTTCGCTCTTCATTCAGCAAGATATAAGTTCTTTGTAAGAGGTTGTTCAAATGTTCAGGAAGCCGCACATTTTCATCAATTAACACACCTAGGCACTTGACACCTTCAGAAAAAGGAAGACTCAGATGACTAATACGTAAACTTAAAGAAGCTTTGACTTAAGCTCTTCTGTGGTTTAAACAAAACAGCACAGGCGAAGATTTAAAAGCATTAATGGTTAGGTTGTTATTGGCTGAGTAGGTGCAAATAGAGTCAATGTCCTCGTTAATTTCTCTGGTAGCGGTTTTGAGATTCTCAGGGT